GACTCTTCCTCCATTCTTTCTACTTTGTTAGATCTGTGACCCTCAGGAAATAACTCCTGGGGACTCTAAATTTGTAAATTGAAGGAATAAAACCAGATTGTAGCTATCTCTAAAGCGGTTTATATCTGTGATTTTTGTGAATGACATTCCTAGGTTAAAAAATCTAGTTTTATTTTGCTAATTATGAAATAAAATTTGAACCTTACTTAATGATGACTTAAGATGTGAAACCGCTATGTAAAACAAAAGCTTGATTGTTCCTACCAGATTGCTTCTGTTTCTGTCTGCTGTCATGGTTGTGTCAGAGTACTAATAGGTGATCCTGGATATGCTTTCATGTGAGATGGAATTTAGTTCTGTTTGCTACTGTATCTAGTCTCTGTAGTTAGCTATTCTGACTGTGCCTGCCCCAGTGCCTGATACATAGGGAGCGTTCAGTATGTGGGTACTGGTGTTTGTGTTCCATTTGGCATGTTGGTGGCCAAACACCAAGGAGATTATATACCTCCATGCCATACCTAATGCAAGGAGCCTAGGCTTAAAACAAAAATATGTGTATACTGAAATTGAAATTGCCTTCAGCCACATTTACTAATTGCAATAGATTTTTTTTTTTTTTTTTGAGATAGGTTTTCTGGTTATTTTTATCTTTTGTTTTACTTGTTTCTTTTGTATGTTTTTATTCTAACCTTGGAATAATTTGGTGTTGGTAAATCAAACTGTAAAAGGACTGGAAGTTTAGCCATATGATGCTTTTTAAGGAAGTTTACAAGTTTCCAAGTCTTTGGCACATGTAAAAGGACATATTCTTCTGCTGTGAAAATAGAAAATAAAGATGCCAATGAAAAGAATTCTGGAAGGGTGTTGGCTAGTGGAGTTTCTCTTGTATTTATGGCTGTAGTGGAATGGCGGCTGATGCTTTTGTTTTAGGTCACTGTCGTCATTGCTTGGCTCAGAACATTAGTGACTCATCTGAGGAACTTCCTTTTATTCCCTTAAGTGTCCTGGTTCAGCTGTAGAGATTCTGATTCTCTCGTGCTGTAGATCTGATTGCGGGGTAGGGGGTGGCGTTGGTATTGAGATAGAGTCTCACTCAAACTTGTAGCAGTCCTCCTCAACCACACAACTGCTAGGATTCTGCTTGGCTTGAACTTTTTAAAAAGCCCCTCAAATGACTTCAGAGTTTGAGAACTAGTTTCGAATTACTGCTTGTGTTTATTTATACTTTTCCCATGTGATATGCCTATGAATAGGCATAGAACCTTTTGGCTAGGTGTGTTGATGAGACTAGTTACTTGTTATCTAATCTCATTATTTCTGTATTGCCTTATAGAAAACTGAAATGAGCTGTTAATTCCTCATCCTTACTGTCAAAACAACTGTGTCCCTTTGCTGTTTCTAACAGTGTCCTGTTTGATCTTGTAGACAGAAAGATAGGCCTGGTACCTTTGTACTTTCAGCCAGCTCAGTTATTTATTTGGATTACTGGATGGTGCTTTTCTGTTATTTTTACTTCCTTTTGTTTACTTTTATCACAGCCTAATTTTTAAAATCTTTCCTTATTCTATTTTTTTAATTTTATTATTATTTTTATTTTATGTGTATGCATCTATTGCCTGCATGAAGGTAAGTGCATCCGTGTCTTGCCATGCCCACGGATGTCAGAAGAGGCTGTCGGATCCTCTGGGACTGGAGTTATGGACAGTTCCGTGTCATGCCATGCCCGCGGATGTCAGAAGAGGCTGTCGGATCCTCTGGGACTGGAGTTATGGACAGTTGGTAGCTGCCATGTGGGTACTGGGATTCCAATCTGGGTCTTCTGCAAGAACAACCAGTGTTCTTAACCACTGAGCCACCTCTCCAGCCCCAGTTATTCTATTTTTTAAAGTTAAAAGGTTTTATCTTTCTCTTGTATGTTATGAATTAATACTAAGTTTTTTATTTTTTGGTTTTTAGTTTGGGGGCTTTTTTGTCTTTTTGAGACAGTGTCTCCCTATAGCCCCAGGTAGTCTGGAACTCACTATGTAGAACAAATTGGCCTTGAACTCACGGAAATCCGCCTGCCTCTGCCCACAAGTGCTGGGATTAAAGGCATGCACCACCACATCGGGCTCTAATTGTGTTAACTGATTTATTTTTATTTATTTATTTTTTTTAGTGGTCACTGACTTTGCCGTTACTACATTTGTATCTTGTTATAGAATCCTGAAATGTAGAACTTTAAGTAGTATTTAATGATAGGCAAGATAGTGAATTTGATTTAAATATTCTTTCTTGAAATTTTCTTCTAAGTCAATAATTAGTGTCCACATTCCCCTTCTCAAGTCTTCTTTTAGTTCTATTTTAAATTTAAAATGACTATCATACATTAGTTTTTATGTAAGATTAGCAGTGTAGCTATGTGTTGAAGGTCCCTCAAAGAAGAACCAGTGCTGCTAGCCGTCACAAGTCACTCAGTAATGTTACTACTTTGATGAATCATAGGTTCTTCAAGTATTCAATTAAGTCAGTGGTAATACCTTAGTATTTTAGGAAAACTTAATGCATATTTATTTTTATTGAAAGATACAGACAACCTTTTTGAACATGAACTGGGGGCTCTCAACATGGCTGCATTACTACGAAAAGAAGAAAGAGCAAGTCTTCTTAGTAACCTGGGACCATGTTGTAAAGCATTATGTTTCAGACGGGATTCTGCAATCCGAAGGCAACTTGTGAAAAATGAAAAGGTACCACAAATTCCTGAGGAAAGTGAATAGTAGAAATGGCATAGTTTTCATCTTGACTAATTTTGTCTTTTACACATATAAAGGAACCTTTCTGATACAATTTAAAATCCTATTCATCTATAGTATTGGTGAGTGATGTTTGTTTGTTGGGGGGGTGCTTGAGACAGGGTCTAGAGCTCATATATCTCCAGCTGGCCTGGAACTTGATATGTAAACCATCCCCAGGCTAGCTTTAATCTCACAACAATCCACCTACCTCTGCTTCCGGGAGTGGATACCGAAGTGACTGGTTGTTTTACATAATAATTATTCCAAATTTTGTGCATAAAGATTACTTATCCTGTGATAATTTGTATTTGTGAAAAGCTGCTTTAGATAAGCAAACAGATCAGAATGTATATAAGCATTTAGTTGAGAATAATAAAGGTGGTTGAAAGTGTAAGAAGAAATAATAATAGTTTAGATGTGGGAAAGAGCTGATGAGAAATCAGAAGAATTTTAGATTTTTTTTTTTTTTTAAGTTGGAAAACTGGGGGTTTTATTTTTAGGTGAGTGTGGTGGGCCTGGGCATTATGACAAAAGAATAGAGGGCACAGATAACTAATAGACTGTATGACACATTGTAAAGTTGTAACTTATATGACTTCATCGACCCACCTGAAGAAATTATTGTAAGCTTTCAGATTATTCGTTGTTAAAAATATCAGCACAAGCTGGGCTTTAACTCTCCTTGGGATGAGGTAGGAGGATCTTGGGTTTGAGATCAGCCTGGGTTAAATAGTGAGGCCCTGTTTCAGAGCAAACAAACAGCTAGGCATGGTGGTACACGCCTTTAGGCAGAGGCAGGTGGATCTTAGTGAGATGGGGATCTTAGATGGAGGCCAACCTGGTTGACATAGTGAGTTCCAGCCAGCTGAGGCTACTCTCGAAAACTAACAAACAAACAAAAAATCAAATTAACAGCACACAAGCTGAAAGAAAGGGACACAACTAAAAAACAAAACTATTTCAGATGCTAGACAACCTTATAAAAAATACTAAGATTAAGTTTAAATGTCATATCATAGTATTAAAATAACATACATGGGGCTGGAGAGATGGCTCAGCAGTTAAGAGCACTGACCGCTCTTGCAGAGGACCCGGGTTCGAGTCCCAGCACCCACATGGCGGCTGCGAACTGTCCTTAACTCCAGTTCCAGGGGAATCCGAAGCTCTCTTCTGACCTCCAAGGCTCTGCACGACATGGGTGTACTCACATACATGTAGGCAATACACTCATACATATAAAATAAAAATAATAACATTTTAAAATAAGAAAAAAATAACATTTAGCAAATAGATGAAAGGAAATAACAGAATTTAACAAAATTGGAAATCGAAAGAGTAGGAAAAAATTAGTGAAGTCAAAAGCTGATTCTTTGAAGAAATGAATGAGTGATGGTCTCCTAGACAAGAAGAAAGCATAAATGAGCAATGTTGAGAATGAAGATGGGGATGGTCCTACAGAGCCCACAGGTAATAAAAAATAGCAAGGGTTGGGGGCTGGCTCAGGGACAGAGTACTTGCCTAACATGCACAGGGCTTAGGATCAATCCCCAGCACTGGAAACCAACAAAAGAAGGAAAGCAAATATAAAACACAGTATAGAATACATACTATCTATGAAGTTAGTGGAAATGGGTTGAATCCTCAAACTTCCAGATCTTCCTCAAGAAGTAATCAGAAAATGGAATAGCTGCACCTCTTTTCTAAAATTGGGTTTTTAGTTTAAAATCTTCCAGAAAAAAAAAAAAGAAACCCACACATTGACAGTTCTACTGGCAAAATCTGCTAAATACTAAAAAAGAAGTCATACTGGTTCTATGGTCTCTTCAGAAGGCTGAGGAAGTGGGAGCTCCTCTAGCTGATCCTATGAGCCCAGCATTGCAACACATCACAAGTGAACTGGGGACGATTATTTCCCAGGAAGTTGTTCATAAAAGTTCTTAAAAATATTGCAAAATCAAATGAAGAAATATATAAAATGAATCCTATACCACAATCAAATGTGGTTTGTCTTAGAAATGATATTCTAAAATTATCCAATGTGATCTATCATATTAGCAGACTGAAAAGGAAAAAATACTTGATTCTATCAATCAATAGAGAAAAAGCATTCAATAAAATTTAACATTCCTTTCTGGTAAAAATTCTCAGCATTGCAGTTAGAAGACATTTTACTTTATAAAGAACAGATATAGCCAGGCAGGGTGACTCAGACTTAGAATTCCAACACCTGGAAGGCTGAGACAGGCAGATTGCTATGAGTTCAAGGTCAGCCTGGAGAACATACCATCATAGCTACTGGTGAAGGTGTGATGACTTTTTCCATGAGATAGGTACAAGGAAAAATGTTGACTCTCACTGTCCCTGTTGAACATCATAGTAAAAGCCCTCGCCAGTTCAACAAGATAAGAAAAAGAAATGGCATAAAGATTGGAAAGAAAGAAATACAGCTGTTTTAATTACAGCATAACATGATCGCCTATCATGTTAAGGGACACAATTAAAAAATTTCTAAGGAATTTCCTTGACATTTCTCAAGGAGAGCCATTGTTTAGAACCTTATAGTCTTTTAAACAATATAAAAGCTTCATGGAATTTACCAGAAACATTCCTAGAACCAAATGTAATTTAAACATCACAGGATACAAGGGCAGAGTAGGAAAACAATTGCACCTCTGTATACTAGCAGTGAGTACCTGGATTGAGAAGTTAAAGAGCAGTTCCCTTACAGTTGCTTCCTACAGAGTGAGTGCTGAAATATAGATCAGATAGAACCTGTGCCACAAAGTTTAAAACAGATGAAAAAAGATAGTGAGTACCTAAGAAATGGACCAGATAGGCCTTGTTCATAGATTATAAAACTTGGTATAAAGGTGACCAATTTCCCCAAAGGTAGCCTTCAGAATCCTAATAAGACTTCAAGCAGAGTCCACTTGTAGAGATAAACAAGCTAATTTTAAAGGTTTCATGGAGTCCATAGCCATATCACCCCATGCACCGAGTCTCTTCAACAGTTTACATGAAAGGATGGAGTTATTGGAATAACCAAGATGGTTTTTACAAAAAGTAAATAAAATGAATGGGAGGACTTGCCCTACTCATTTCAAGACTTATTATAAACTTCAGAACTTAAGGTAATATGAAATTGGCATAGAATTTTAGTTAAGTGGAACAGAGCCCACACAGACACACATAAATATCACCATTTAAGAGGGCGGGGGAGTGTGTAAAATAGTTTGTTTTTTAAATTAACTTTATTTTTATTTTTTATTTATTTGTTTGTTTATTTTTTTGGTCTTTTTTGAGACAGGGTTTCCCTGTAGCCCCAGCTGTCCTGGAACTCACTATGTAGACCAGGCTGGCCTTGAACTCACAGAGATCCGCCCGCCTCTGCCTCCTGAGTGCTGGGATTAAAGGTGTGCGCTACCACGCCCAGCTAAATTGACTTTATTTTTAAATAATTGTTCTTCCTCAAAAGTTAAAGCTCATTCTTTGAAAGAGACTGATAAAAGTTTGAAAAGACAAACTGTGGGAGAAAGTTCTTAATAGAATACATTTTAAAATGCATAAATATATGAATTAATATTATTCATAAATATATGAAAATATTCTCAAAAATTAAAAGATGTGAATACTCATGTCAAAGAAGATATGTAGCTAGCTGTTAAGCACAAGAAAAGATGTGTAATAGGGAATGCAAATTAAGAGTGCAGTGGAGGGGCTGGAGACCTGGCTCAGCAGTTGAGAGCACTGGCTGCTCTTGCATAGGACCTGGGTTCAGTTCCCAGCACCCACATGGTGGCAAACAACCAATTCCAGTTCCAGGGGATCTGACACTCTCCTCTGGATTTCATGGACAATGGCATTGCATGCTTGTGGTGCGTTTACATGCATGCAAGCAAATATATAATAAACATAAAAGTATTGCAGTGAAATACTATTAATTGCCTGCATCTGTGCCTAAAGACGACCAACTAAAACTTGAGGATAATCTTCCCAAACTGAAACCACCTCTCCTGTTCTTCACTGGGCTAATAGATAAACAGTGGCATAACCTGTATAATAGATACTAATTATCAACAAAGTGCTAGGCTAGGAGCTGGAGAGATGGCTCAGTGGTTAAGAGCACTGGCTGCTCTTGCGGGACCTGGGTGTGACTCACCACATGGTGGCTAAAAACCATCTGTAACTCCAGTTCCAGGGGATTCTAATGCACTCTTCTGACCTCCATGGGCATTGCAGAATATGGGTGCACTTACATACATGCAGGCAATACACTCAGCCCATAAAATTAAAAAAAAAAAATTTTTTTTTAAGTGCCAGGCTATTGGTAGTGTGGGCAGCGTGCGGGAATCTCAGAGGCATTATGCTGAAGGAAAGAAGTCAAAAGGCTATGCATGCACCGTATTTCCGTGCCATTCTGGAAAAGGCAAAACAGTAATGGAAGGATTCAGTGGTTTGCAGGTATTAGATGTGGGAAGAGGGTGTGACTCAAGGCAAGTTTGGTTGAGTAAGATACTGCTCTATCCTAACTGTTGTCATGTCTTCATGAATCTATCCATGTACTAAACCTCACAGAACTGTACATAAAAAGTTTATTTTAGGAAATAAAATAATTTTCCAAAGAATGAAAAGATGGTCCAGAAACCAGGGTCTTTTGGAGAGCCTAGAAAATAAGCAGAATAGCATAGTGCTGGAACTGTTCACATCTTACCCTTTTGTCATCATATGTAGAGTTAGGGAACACTTAACAAAATTGTATGACACTTTTACAAAATATCAGTGTAGCTTTAGGCTGCACTTTGTAGTAGCACAGTCCACAGTACTAGAGATGCACATTTTGGTATGAGGTAATAGTTCCTCAGTGTGTTGCATGAGAAAATGTCTTCTAGAAAATTTATTCAATTCTATGGCCCTAATTTTATGAGACATTCATAGACCATTAAAGAGTGAAGAATGTTTGGCTTGCAAAAGAAAAACGAGGAAGTCATGATTCTTTTCTTAGATTTGAATTTCATCCAGTAAAAGGAAGACTGAATAGAAGCACAGCCCCGCAGAACCGATTTCATGTCGTAGTGCAGAGCCCAGTGTCATTCGATACAGATGCTCTGCTTCAGGGTTTCTTGCTGGTTTTCTCATTAGAAATGATGGAAAATTGTCAGGAACTCTTGAGAGGATCCCCACTTTTAGTGAAAGGCTAGACAGGGTACCCCTAAAGCTTGCTTACTTCTTAAGGTTCATTAATCTTGAACATATCTCCAAATTTTTCTTTTAAGTCACTGGAGTTCAAAAGCAGTACTCTTCTAACTTGGGCATTTGGGGTGGAGGTAAACATGCCTGCCTTCCTACCATCAGCTAGCATATGCAGCTTGTCTGTTCTCTCCTGTAGGGTACTGTGAAGCAGGCATACACCAACACACCAGTGGTAGACAACGAGCTGCTGCGGCTGAGCCTGCGGCTATTTAAAAAGAAGACCACATGCCTTGCTCCTGGAAATGAGAAGACTGAAGATGACAGACTAGCACAGTCCAGCATCCAGCAGGAGCTGTGTGTGACGTGAGCCAGAGCTTCAGAACGGCCCTTCGGTACTGTCCTCTTTCAGTACATAGTCCTTCTCAGAGTCAGGACAGAAAGATTTATTGGCCACACTAAAAGGCTGAAGAACTGTGATCTGTAGAGATGCCTAATTTAAGATTTTACATTAATTTTTATACTTGACACTCAGGCAAAATAATGTGAAAGCATCTAGATTTAGTAGTTTAAGTCTTCCTTTATTGAAACTGGAGGTTTAGAAAATGGCCACTACTGCTCTTCCAGCCTACGAGTACTCTCTTTGAAATGGAAACATCGATTTATATTCTGGACGGACATACAGAGACTGATCTTGCTCAGAAAGACGGTGTTCATGGAAGCCAGCCGCTTACACTCTACAAAACCATGCTGTACAGAACACTGAAGAGGGTACTGGCTGTGCATAGCATATCTGTAGGCAAACCTCCAGCAGACAAAGCCTAGATCTTTGGTTTTCTTATTGAAATTTTTAAAATAGATGACTTCATGGGATTTTTTATGTGTTGTACATTACTACATTGTATATTGGATGCCTTTGGACACCAGGTGGGTTTCTGTTGTTCGTTATCAGAGACTGTTCTATTTTTATTTTTAATAAATGTACTTCCTCTTTCCTTGTTCTAGATTTCCCTTGCTCTTTATTACATATTCCTGATACTCAAAAGTATATATCATCAACATTATAGTTTCATGCTTCAAATATGTTCTTCTTGTGTACTTAGTGTTGGAGAGCTATATATAGTGTGAACAGATTTGAGGGCATCCTTTAAATATAGCTCAGTAATTCTTGAAGCAAACCAAGGATTAACAAACCTGTTGTCTGAGTTTGAAAATCCTGCCGTCGTATTTCAGGGCTAACCTGCCTCCATCCATCCTGTACTGTGTAAAAATGATTTTTTTGAAAATTTCCAAATACTTGGTTCTGTATTCATGTTTAACTCAAGAAGTGTACTCTTGGGAGGATTTTTTAATGGACTACAAGTTGCAGAATGGTTGGCAGACAGTAGTAATGATGAGGATGGTAAAAGAAGAAATGTTAGTTTGTTGATGACTTTTCACAGGGTTTATTAGAGCTGTGAGCCTGTGTTACCTGCCTCTGGTTTCATATTCCCTTCTCTAAAGACAGTGTAATCATACTAGTGTAATGTGTCTATTCATTTCAAGAAACATTTATTGTGCAGTTCATTTTTACAAGATAATTGCCTGGCAAAGGAAATAATCTTATTTGTAAGTCTTATTTGAAAGCATGTATGAGAAAAATCACCAGTGGAGTGGAGGGAAAAGTAATTAAAGTTTCCTGGTGTCATTTTCTTTTTCTAAATGCTTTGAATAAAGAGAAATGAACTGAAATTATATCAGAGAGCAAATGCCCACTTCCTGATTGTACTGTGTAGCGTTGTTCTCTGTAACATCAAGATTTGAAGCCCAGAAACAATTTTTTAACTTAATTGTAAGAAATTTGAAGACCTAGAACTTGTAGTTCCAAGAATTATGGAATGTGACAAAAATAATGGTTTCTTCATTTGTCTACTAACTTTGGGAATATTTCAAAAATTATATGAAAAAAAATTTTTCTCACATAAAGGTTGAATCTGCTGTTTATCTTTTTATTAGGCTGCGGAAGGAAACTTTAGAGCCAGCCATTTTGCACTGCTCACAGTATTCATAACTTCATGTTCCTAGTGGAAAATACTGTTAAGCTTTTTCTTCTCAATTCAGCCATTCTCAGTGTTAGGTATATCTGTCTATAAAGTTCTACAGCAAATCTTTTTGTCAGATTTTTTTTATAAAAGTTCTTGGTCTGAAATTAAAATCTCAATCAAACCAGTATTCCTGGAAACATCTTCCAGCCTGTAAATATTTGCTAATATGCTTTAAAATCTCATAAATGTGTTTATTTGCCATAATTGTACCCCTGAATTCTAGCTGCTGGTTGTAGAAAGGACAGAAGTTCTGCATTCCAAAATGAATGAGAGTTACATAATTAGATAATTGAGTCAGCTGTTTGATTGGGGGACAGCTGTCCTTGCCACTTAGGAAAGCATTAGACCAACTGGCACAGCTAACATTATTTCAGAAAAATTTGCCGTTATGCTTCAGTAGTAACTTACTATGCTGAAAGATCTGGCCTGTAACTTGTTTACTCTGACCATTGGACACAGATGATCTTCCCGTCCTACCCAGTGGCCACATTAGGGTTTTGTGACCTGCCCTTATCTGTGGACCATCTGTAGAATATCCCACTTTGTTCCTGACTGTCCAGTTGCATGAAGATTGTGGTGTGTCGTGACCATTGTTGACACTTGAAAACCTCAGAAAGGAGCTGCCAGCAGACCTTCAACTTGTTATTTTAAAAGGTGTGTGGGACTGGGGACAAATCTCAAGGTAGAGTACTTGCTTAGTGGCTTGGGGTTAGATTCCAGCACAGAAAAAGGGAGATTTCTCCTTAAAAGTCAATGTACTAAATTTCATTTATTCATTAGTCTTTTTGATCTTTCCATTTGTGTATTTTGAACGTACCAGCATATTCCATTCAAAAGGTGATATAAGTTTTTGTGAAATAACTTTGTACATAGATCTATAGACAAAGTTTTACAACCGTATTGAGCCATTTCTTTACTTTCAGACTGTCTACCATGCTGTCTTGGTAGTTTGAACTAAAAAGATATGTGGATAGAACTGTTTTAAGTTGTAGTGGTTATTGTGAAAGAAAAAGAAAGGGCAGAGGGGGAATAATGGGGGGGGAATAAAGGGGGAATAATGGTTGGGAGAAGGCAGCTGCTGTTGTAGATTGTCAGATAAGGTCTTGTGACTGAGCTGGGACCTAATAGCAACAAGGCCGGCAGAGTGAGGAGCTCAGTGAGGAGCAGTTCAGAGGGACTGGAATGTGCAGACACCTGGAGTACGGAACGAGTTTCTTTTGTACAAGACTGAGATACTACTTAGTGTCTCTCAACACTGGAATGAGGAGTGGTGCTGAGACTATACTGTTGGATAGATTTTCTACAATGTTGGAAATGCTCAGTAGTTGCACTGCAGAATGCAGTAGCCTCATGGGGTTGTTAGCATGGGGAAACATAACTAGTATAGGAACTAAATTTTACTTTTTAAGATTTTTTAATGAATTTTTGTGTATTCATACAGAACATCTTAATTGACTTTATGCCCCCCCCATTGGAATTCATACAGTCTGTCATTTGTGTTAAGGCCTATCATATCAAGTTAGTGTTCCCAGACATCCCTTGGTGCAAGTTCATCCACTGGGATTTAGCCTATCTAGAGTCCCTCCCTTTAGGAAGATCAGCTCTTCTCACCCAGCAGTAATCAGCTGCCAATAATTCTTCAACTAAGATTGGGGCCTGCTGTCCTTTTCCATAGTTTTGTGCTGGGTTTTTGTCTGCTTGAGTTTGCATGGGTCTTGTGCATGCTGACACCATTGCTGTAGGTTCATATGAGAAGAGTCCCAGGAACCTGTAGGACTCAGATTTCCATATGATCATGTTACTTTTTTTTTTTTTTTTTGACATAAAATATTTGCGTGTGGCACATGACTATTTGGTGCAACATGGGTCCTCATTACTAAATGTGGAAATATTTCCCAAAGTGGTTGTAGGGTGACCCCTTTTTGTTGTAGCCTTTTCACTGTTTAAGTATTTTCTCTTTACAGCATGTGATACTGATTACTTATACAGCAGGAATACATTGCTTTTGGTATATGTGTGACTAGTTTTAGGTCAGGTATTACTGAAATAGGGCAGAAAACTGGTGTATACATAACTGGTTCTTTAAAGTGCAGACTGAAGTTGGAAAGCAAGTAGCACAGGATAATGAAATAACATTCAGTCACCTGAGTGGAAAGCAGAAGAGAAACAGAAATGTGAGCAGGTAGGTAAATTTAAAACATCAGTATTGTGGCAGAGAGATGCCAGAAACTTGGCATTGTTAGAACTCTTCAGCCAGAACCCTTGGCATTGTTAGAACAAGGAGCAAGCCCCAGCTGTTCTGAGAACTTGTTCCTTCAGGTTTCTCTTGGAATTGCCCTCTTGAACAAAGGACTTGCTCTGTACTTTGATTCAAACAGTACATCCACCATGATATGGGAAATGAAAAGAAGAACTTGGCTTATCAGAAACGACCCCTACTGACCCAGAACAGCACACAAAGCCACAAACAAGATAATTTGTTGTTTCCAATATTTGCTACTTTTCAGCATAGATATTTTCACAACACACACATATTATTCTGGATCAGGGACAAGGAAGGATCATGAGGGATTGAAGCTATATGTTTAGTTTACAAAAGGAGCCCAAGGCTACTAAGTTTGTTAAATGATCTCAAGATGTAAGGTTAACTTAGTTCCTGGTGGTTTGGGAGTTCTTTGTTTGTTTGTTTGTTTGGTCTTTTGAGATAGGGTCTTCCTGTAGCCCCAGCTGGCCTGAAACTTAATTATGGAGACCAGGCTGGCCTTCATCTCATGGAGATCCACCTTCCTCTGCTCCCAAGTGCTGGGATTAAAGGCATATGCCACCATGTTCCCAGCGTAAGATTAGCTTTGGTTGCAAGGTTAGGTTAAGAGTCCCATTTGTGGGCTAGGTATGGTAGCACAGGCCTTTAAGCCCAGCACCAGAGAGGCAGAGGCAGGCAGATCTCTGTGAGATCAAGGCCAGCCTCATCTACATAATGAGTTCCAGGCCAGCTGTGGTGGTTTGAATGAAAATCTCCCCCATAGGCTCCAAGTATTTGGACATTTTGTCCCCAGATAGTGGCACTGTTTTGGGAGGTCTTAGACAGTCTGGCTCTCCTGGAGGAAGCATGTCACCAGGGGTGGGCTTAGAGAGTTCTTAAGCCTTGCCAGATCTCCAGTTGCTCTCTTGTTTCCTGTGCCTGCCTCCAGGAAGATGTAGAGCTTAGCTTCCAGTCTGCCTCCAGCCACCTCTACCTCCCCACCCCCACCCCCAAGACAAACTGTAATTCTCCTGGAACCGTAACCTCAAATAAATTCTTCCTTTCATAAGTTGCTTTGGTCAGTGTTTCTGTCGCAGCAACAGAAAAGTGACTAATATACCACCTGTGGCTAAGTGGAGACCCTGTCTCGAAAAAAGTAAAATTAAAGAAATCTCATTTGTAGCAGAAGGCATTCCTAGAAAAGTCATTCATTCCCACAGTTCTGTTTTAGTAAAAAAGCAGCATGTCCACCAGGTGTTCACTGGCTGTGGGCTGCTTAGGGTGCAGTGCTGGAGGAGCAGCATGAGTCAGCATGGCTGTCTTTGGTCATTCCCCTGAAAAGGTGGCACAAGCAGGGCAGCATTGTGAGATCGCAAATGGAAAAGACAGTTGTTCCTTATAAGCAGTGAGAGATTGTGGTGATCGTAGCAAGAAAGTCTTTCAGGGGTTTTTCAGACCTGTCTTGAGGATGCATTTAATTACATTGGCCTGATTTTTTGTCTCCCCATGTCGGATGGCAGATTGGAGGTTGAAGTTGTTGATAATATTCACATCCTCTCTTGTGGAAGCTCTTCCCAGGTAGCAGTGAGTATGGTTGAAATTCAGGAGAGGGTCCCTCCTATTGCCAGGGTGTCTTCTGGTGCCAGCTCATGGTATTACCAAACAGGCTGGGATCCAAAGAAGGCTTGTAGGATAAAGCACTGATGAGGAGCTTTGGCTCAAGTGATGAACGGGACCCAGCCATTGTTTGGACCCCTGAAGAGATTTATATAAAACCATGGATTGGGGCTGGAGAGATAACTCAGCAGTTAAGATCACTGGCTGTTCTTGCAGAAGACCCAGGTTTGATTCCCAGCACACACACATGGTGGCTAACAACTCTCTGTAACTCCAGTTCCAGGGGATCTGATACCCTCTTCTGTCCTCTCTGGGCACTGCATGATATGGGTGCACTTAACATACATGCAAGGCAAAGCACTCAGACACATACAAATAAAAATATATAAAAAAATTTTTTAAACCATGGGTTTTGGTAAAACTTGTTTCTTATGATGCTTTTCTACAAGTGTTAGTGAGGGGAGATTTCAGAGGAATATTTTTTAAAAATTAAAGTATATGTTGCTTTAGCAAGTTGTTCCTGAGCAGTTAATCCCTTATTCCCTTGTGTGTTTATATACTTGATTTTTGAGTAATAAATGAGCTCATTCTATTATGGCTTGACTTTGGGGTTATAGGGAATGCCATGAGAGACATAACTGTCCAAAGTTGGCAAAGAGATAAAAGTTTTATACATGTAAGTGGGACCATTGTCTATTTTGATTTGTTTTGGGATACAAACCCTGCCCCCCATTACAGAGAAAGTAGTTAACGCCTACAAACAGCTCAAGCAGATTCATGTGTTTGAGCAA